AGAGCGTCACCCACCCCCGCGAGGGGACACGCAGGAGCGCGGGGGTCTCGCCCTCTCCCAGGAGGGCAGCGAACCCCGAGAGCCCTCCTTGGTGTCGGGGACAGCTCTGCTGGCGGGCTGGGGACGGAGGTGACACCTACGTGGGCTCGCCCAGCCGCATGGTGCCGTCGGCCCGGCACACGATCTCGTCGCGGGCGCCGTCCATGAACTGTGCCAGCCAACCAATGCTGCCCACGAAGAAGCAGGCGTTGACGTAGAACAGGATGACGGCGGGGTAGCGGTTGGAGTTCCTCCAGTCAGCAACAAACGTGGCCTGGAGGGGTGGAGAAAGCGACAGCTCGGTGCCCGTCCCCTTCTGGGGACAGCTCCCCCAAAAGGAGCCCGAGTCTCACCAGGGTGAAGAAGGTGCAGAAGATGGTGACGGAGCTGAAGGCGGCGATGTAGACGTGCATCTCGCGGTGCTCCTTCTCGGTGAACAGCGGGTTCTGGCACTGGATGCCGCAGCCCTCCACGTCCTCGTACCAGCTCTTGGGGTTGTCCGTCCTCACCAGCGGCGCCTCGCACTGCCCCGAGCTGTTGAACTTGATGTTCTGCACCTCGTTCTGCCAGAGGGGAAACCAGGCCGTGAGGAGGAGGAGGAGGAGGAGGAAGAGACACCCCCGTGGCCAAGATGGACATCAGTCCCCTGTGGAGGGCAGCTGGGTTCCAGAGAATCACCATGGAATCAAGGAATGGGTTGGGTGGGAAGGGACCTCAAAGCCCCTCCAGTGCCACCCCTGCCATGGCAGGGACACTGCCACTGTGCCAGGCTGCTCCAGCCCCAGTGTCCAGCCTGGCCTTGGACATTCCAGGGATGCAGGGGCAGCCCCAGCTGCTCTGGCAATTCCAGCCCAGCCAGGAATTCCTCATGGCCAAGATGCCATCCATGGCTGCCCTCTGGCACTGGGAGCCATTCCCTGTGTCCTGTCCATCCCTTGTCCCCAGTCCCTCTGCAGCTCTCCTGGAGCCCCTCCAGGCCCTGGAATGTGCTGGAAGCTCTCCCTGGATCCTCCTCCTCTCCAGGCTGACCAACAGCAGCCCTTCTCTCCTCCAGAGAGTGACCTTCCCTCCCCAGGCCCGTGTGCCCGTGCCGTACCGGGCAGCCCTCGGGGAAGCGGTCGGTGGTGCACTTGAGGAAGTCGGGCCAGCCGCGCTCGCGCTCCACGATGGTGCAGGGTGCCCGGGTGGCCTGGCACAGGGTCTGGCTGGGCAGCTCCACCTGCCCGTCCTCGCACTTGGGCATGTAGACGGCACAGAGCAGGGGCTGGATGACGTCCCAGCAGCGCGGGGCGTTGCGCAGGCCTGCGGGGAGGGGACAGCGCCGTCACCACCCCTGGCACGGCCACCTCCTGCTGTCCCCACAGCACCCACACAGCCCTGGGACCCCTCTGTGGGACCCTCCTGCTGTCCCCACAGCACTGGGACCCCTCTGTGGGACCCTCCTGCTGTCCCCACAGCCCTGGGACCCCTCTGTGTGGCCACTGTGCCCATCACTAGGGCTGCCCCTCCATACTGTACCCCCATACTGCTCTTGTCCACACTGTGCCCACCCCCAGCCCCTGATAAATCATTTTCTGTACTGTACCCATCCCCAGCCCCCCTCTATACAGTTTTCTATACTGTGCTCATTCTCAGGCCAGTGCTATACAGTTTTCTATACTTTGCCTATCCTCACTCACCCTCCATACAGTTTTCTATACTGTACCCATCCCCAGCTCCCCTCTGTAAAGTTTTCTTTACTCTACCCATCTCCAGCCCCCTGCTAGGCACTTTTCTATACTGTACCCCATGAAGAAGCATTCCTAGCCATGTGCTATACAATTTTCTATACTGTACCCATCTCCAGCCCCCTGCTAGGCACTTTTCTATACTGTACCCACCCCCAGCCCCCCTCCATGAAGTTTTCTATACTGTACCCATCCCCAGCCCTGTGCTATAAAGTTTTCCATACTGTATGCACCCCCCTCCATACTGTACCCCCACACTGCTCTTGTCCACACTGTGCCCACCCCCAGCCCCTGATAAACCATTTTCTGTACTGCACCCATCCCCAGACTCCTGCTGTGCCCATGTCTGAGGCCATTCTATCCTGTTTTCCCCCCTACACCCCGCCCTCCCTGTACCCCAATCTCCTGCTCCCCTCCACAATACACAATCTCCACTCCTCTGCTGTACAGTTTTCTGTACTGTGCCCATCCCCAGACACCCACTATACTGCTCCTCCCCATGCTGCTCCTATCTCCAGTCTCTTTGTAATCCATTTTCTATACTGTACCCATTTCCAGTCCCTTTTTAACCAGTTTTCTATACTGTACCCATCTCCAGTCACTTCTCAATCAGTTTTCTGTACTGTACCCACCCCCAGCCCCCCTCTATACAGTTTTCTATACTGTATGCACCCCCAGCCGCGGTGCTCGGCGGGCTTAGGGCGGCTCGCAGCGGGGCGAGGGGCCCGCCATGGCCCCGCCGCCTTTGTTGGGCTCGCCGGGAGCGAGCGGAGCGGCCCCGCTGCTGCTGCTCCTCCTCCTCCGCCGCCGCCGCCCGCGGCCCGGCCCGGCCCGCGCCCCCCGCCGGGGCGGGCTGAGGGAGGGACCGCGGGGGAAGCGCTGCGGAGGGTAAGAGACGCGATTTGTGAGGGGGAAAGTCGCTGAAAAGTGAGGGAAAAGTCTTTTTTTTGAGAGCAAAGAGTCTCCCCTTCTGTGAGGAAAAAGTTCCTCTCGTGAGGAGAGTCACTGTGGTCAGGAAAGGTTTCCTTTTTGTGAGGAAAAGTTCGTTTTTGTGAGGAAAAGTTCTCCTTTTCTGAGGGAAAGGTCTTTTTTTGTGAGGAAAAGTTCCTTTTTATGAGGAAAAAGTCGCTAAAAAGTGAGGGAAAAGTCGCTAAAAAGTGAGGGGAAATGCTTTTTTTGGGAGGAAACAGTCTCCTTTTGTGAGGAAAAAGTTCCTCTCGTGAGGAAAGAGTCGCTTTTGGTCAGGAAAAGTTCGTTTTTGTGAGGAAAGAGTCACTTTTGGTCAGGAAAAGTTCGTTTTTGTGAGGAAAAGTTCCTTTTTATGAGGAAAAAGTTGCTTTTTGTGAGGGAAAAAGTCGCTAAAAAAGTGAGGGTAAAGTCTTTTTTGGAAGGAAAAAGTCCCCCTCACAAAAGGCCTTTGTGAGGAAAAAGCGGCTTTTTGTGAGAAAAAGTTACATTTTGTGGGGAAAATATTCCTTTTTCTGAGGGGAAAAGTTCCTTTTTGTGCAGAAAAACTCCTGTGTGAGGAAAAAAAAGTCACTTTTTGTGAGGGAAAAGTTCTTTTTTCTGAAGAAAAAGTTCCCTTTTGGGAGGAAAAGGTTCCCTTTTCTTGAGAAAAAATTCACTCATGAAGAAAAAGTCTTTTGGTCAGGAAAAGTTCGTTTTTGTGAGGAAAAGTTCCTTTTTATGAGGAAAAAGTTGCTTTTTGTGAGGGAAAAAGTCGCTAAAAAAGTGAGGGTAAAGTCTTTTTTGGAAGGAAAAAGTCCCCCTCACAAAAGGCCTTTGTGAGGAAAAAGCAACTTTTTGTGAGAAAAAGTTACATTTTGTGGGGAAAATATTCCTTTTTCTGAGGGGAAAAGTTCCTTTTTGTGCAGAAAAACTCCTGTGTGAGGAAAAAAAAGTCACTTTTTGTGAGGGAAAAGTTCTTTTTTCTGAAGAAAAAGTTCCCTTTTGGGAGGAAAAGGTTCCCTTTTCTTGAGAAAAAATTCACTCATGAAGAAAAAGTCACCTATAGTGAGGGAAAAGTTCTTGTTTTTGAAGAAAAAGTCTATTTTTGTGAGAAAAAAGTCACTATTTGCAAGGGAAAAGTTCATTTTTATGACGAAAAGGTCCAATTTTCGAAGGAAAAAGTCACTTTTGTGACAAAACCATCACTTTATATGAGGAAAATATCAATTTTGTGAGGGAAAAGTTCCTTCTTGTGAGGAAAAGATCCTTTTTTTTCTGTGAAATAAAATGTCCTTCTGATGAAAAAGCCTTTGTGAGTAAAAAGTTACTTTTTGGAGGCGAAAAGTTGCCTTTGGGGGGAAATAAACCACCTTTGGGAGAAGAAAAGTCACTTTTTTGAGGGAAAAGTTACTTTTTGGGGAGCAAAGCAAAAGTTACTTTTCTGGGACAAAATACACTTTTTGTGGGGAAAAAATGGTTACTTTTTTGGGGGGAGTACTCTTTGGGGAAAAATCAATTTTATGGGAGAAAAGGCAATTTTGAGGGAAGAAAACTTGACTTTTGTGGAGGAAAGTCCCTTTTTTCGGGGGTGAGTTACCTTTTTTTGAGGGGGAAAATCAGTTTGGGGGGACAAAAGACACTTTTGGGTAAAGAAAAGTTGGGTTTTGGGGACAAGTCCCTTTTGGGGTAAAAAGATGGGGGTTTTGAGGGGGAAAAGTCATTTTTTTGGAGAGCAGCTACTTCTTAGGGTAAACTTGCTTTTTTGGAATGAGAAGTAGCTCTTCGGAGGGGACGTTTTGGGAAGAAAAATGAATTCCAGAGGGGGAAAAAATAACTTTTTTTTGTGGGGAGGTGCCGCTGCTCAGAGAAGCAATCGCTTTTGGGGGAAGAAATCGCATTTTGGCGGGGGGATGAGGCGGATTTTGAGGGGGAAAAAAAGCCAAAAAAAGAGGTTTTTTATGAGAGAAGCCTCCCGGCCGCACACAAAGAGCCGGGCGCTGGGCCGCATCCCGGCTCCCTCCGCGGGAGGGACCACCCAGCCCGAGCTGAAGGAAAATTAAAATTAAAAAAAAAACACACTAAAAACCCAACCCCAAAAAACTCCACCCACGGGTTTGCGACAGCACCGAGGGGCCGGGCCGGGCCCCTCAGCCGCTTTTTTTCCCCTGGTTTTGGGGTCTCACAAGAGCACTGGGCCGTGGCTGTGCGGCCTGGGGCGGCCTCGGCGTGTCCCCAGAGCCACCGCGGTGTCCCCTGCGCAGCCTGGCACAGCTCGGAGCGTCCGGCCTCGTGTCTTTATTGTCCGGGAAAGCCAAGGGATGGGCACGCCCTGGGTCAGCCCGGGTCAGCCCGGCTGTGCCCTCCCGCTGTCCCCGCGGCCGGGGACACCGGGACGGACACGCGGCCATGGGGGGGAATGTCCCCGGTCCCGCAGCCCGGCCTGGGCGAAGGCAGCTCGGTGCACGGACAGACAGACAGACAGACAGGCAGACAAGCGTCCTTCTCCAGCGCACGCGGGGAGGGGGAGCACATCCCTTTGCGCACCAGCAGGACGGACGGACAGACAGCGATTCTCCGGCGCTGCTTCAGCTCAGCCCCTCCAGGCCGAGCCCAGCGGCGGCTGCCAAAGGCACGGAGTCTCCTCCGCGGCCAGCGCGGATCCGCATTCCCTGTCCTCCAGCGAGGCCCCTCGGGCTGTCCCCGCGGATCCGGGGATCGGGAACGGCCCCGGAGCGCCCGGGAGAGCCGCCGTACCGCGGGGAGGCTGCGGGCTCAGGACCAGGGGTCTGCCCGGTGCTGCTGGTTGTAGAGCTGCAGCTTGATCTGGTCGCGGATCTGGTTGATGAGGAGCCGCGCCAGGACGATGCCCACCAGCTGCAGGGGAGAGGGACGGGGAGGGAAACAAGAGAGCAGGGGAGTGGGAAGAGGAGAGGGATGGGGAAGGAAAGGGGGATAGGTAAGGAGAGGGAGGGGAGAGGACGAAAGGGGAGATGGAGGAGAGGGAAAGGGGAAGTGAGATAAAGGGAAGGCAAAGGGGAAGGAGAAGGGAGGAGGAAGAATTAAGGGAGAGGAAGACGGAGGAGAAGGGAAGACACAGAGGAAGAAGAACAGGGAAGGAAATGAGAGAGGAAGAAGGAAGGAAAGAGGCAGAGGAGAAAGGGAGAGAGAGGGAAGGGGAAGAGGGAAGTGGGTGAGGACGAGGAAGGAGAGAAAAGCGAGAGAAAGGGTGAGAAAGAGCAGGAGGGATGGGGGAGAGGGAGAAGAAGGAAGGGGAGAGGGAGGTACTGAGCAACAGCACGCAGTGTCACCCCATGCCCCCGTGCCTGACATTTGCATCACTCCCCCACCCCAAATCCCATCCCGACTCCCCCATCTCACAACCAGCCACCATTAATTAAGTCAGCTCCCCCCAAAACCCCACAAAGCAGAGCTCTGGGGCGGCCCCTTGTCCCCCGCAGTACCTGGGGCAGGGCCAGCCCCAGGGTGATGCCCCCCAGCAGGAAGAGGTTGCTGTGGGTCCAGTTGACCAGCTTGTCGATGCAGCCGTTGGTGTGGATGAAGGCACTGGCCTCCAGGTAGCCCCGGGCCTGCATCCCGTGGCCACACATGGTGTTGATGACAGCCTGGGAGAGGGGACACAGCACAGAGGGGCTGGGGACACAACACACTGCGCTCCCTGCTCTTGGGGGGCAGCTGTGCAGTGACCAGGCCCCTGCCTTGGTGGGGTGTCCCTCAGTGTCCCCATGCCAGCCCTGCAGAGCCACCTGGCCCCAAAGAGCCAATTCCAGCTTTGGAGTCGGAGAATTCTCCCCACCTCACCACAACATTCCACCCAGGAGTCCCCAAACCCAACGGTTGGGTTGGGATGGGGAACCCAAACCCAGAGGGTGGAACTGGGGACACAAACCTAGAGTGTGGGATGGGGACACAAACCCAGAGTGTGGGATGAGGACACAAACCCAGAGGGTGGGATGGGGGAACCCAAACCCAGAGGGTGGGATGGGGACACAAACCCAGAGGGTGGGATGGGGACACAAACCCAGAGTGTGGGATGGGGACACAAACCCAGAGGGTGGGATGGGGAACCCAAACCCAGAGGGTGGGATGGGGAACACAAACCCAGAGGGTGGGATGGGGACACAAACCCAGAGGGTGGGATGGGGACACAAACCCAGAGGGTGGGATGGGGAACCCAAACCCAGAGGGTGGGATGGGGACACAAACCCAGAAGGTGGAACTGGGGACACAAACCCAGTGTGGGATGGGGTCCGTTTGTGTTCCCTCCCCTTGGGCAGGGCTGCAGGCCCAGCGCAGCCCCAGGGAAGGGAGGACAGGCACGGGGCAGGGTCCCCTGAGGCCAGCCCAGGACAGACAGACCTGGTCGGCGTCGTGCAGGCAGCAGGAGAAGGGCACGGAGCAGCGCTCGCGGCTGGGGTTGGTGGCCGTGCAGTTGAAGTACATGTTCTGGGACCAGTCCTTGTAGGAGACACCCCCGCAGCAGCTGAACTGCGGGCAGGGCAGGGGGCTCAGCAGGGAGGGGACCCTAGCCCACGGCAGGGGGACAGGACACTCAGGGCTCTTTGTGCCCCCAGCCCTCCCCAGCCTCCCCCTGCCCGGGCAGGACATCACCACGAACACCTTGGAAGAGCCATCCGACGTCCCCAGCCTGTGCTACCCCACAGATGTAAGCCTGGCACAGAAGTGGGGACCCCTCATCCACTGGGGGGACCCTGCAGAGCCCCCCTGGTCACCTCCTTCTGCCCGAAATCGATGAGGTTCTGCAGGTCCAGGTCATCCCGGTAATGCACGATGGCCCCGTTGATGATCTCGCTGACCTTCCCGCGGGCCTGGGGGACAAACGGGGGGACAGCAGCCAGCCTGTCACCCAGCAGGACAGGACTGGGGTCACCCAGCACCCCCACTGCCCTCCCCTATCAGCACCTTATCAGAGAACACAAAGCCCAGCGCGCCGGCCGCCAGCTGCAGGAGGAAGATGATGGTCAGGCAGACGGAGAACTGCGGGAAGAGGAACGTGACGGTGAGGGGAAGAGCAAGGTGACAGTGATGCCACCAGGGTCCCCAGCAGGGTCCCCAGCCCTGGCAGGACTCACCATCTGCAGCAGGCAGATGTTCTCCCGCAGCGAGCCGACGCAGCCGCAGAAGGTGATGAGGAAGGTGAGGACGCCCACCACGACGAGGAGGATGGCAGGGTCCACTGCCAGGCACGCCAGGGCCGCCTCTGTCACCACGGGCGAGCTGTCACCAGCACCGCCAGCACCCCCAGGAGCCCACATGCCACCCCCAGCGTGCTGGTGGCTCGGGACCAGCAGGGCTGGGGAGCCCCCGAGCTCACCTGCGTGCTTCAGCAGCCGGGCGTACACCCCCACGGCCACCATCACCATGGAGATCATCTGCAGAGGGACACAGGTGACCCCGCAGGTGTCACCACCCCCATGCCACCCCCACGGCCCCACCTGCAGCCCCCCCAAAGCCAGGGAGGCACCAGAGCTGCAGCCGCTGCTTCAGTTTCCCCTTGTCACACTGTGTCCCCTCCTCCCTGGAGGTCGCCTCTGTCCCCTCCTCCCTGGAGGTCACCCCTGTCCCCTCCTCCCTGGAGGTCACTCGCCAGCCAGTGCTGTTCCTCTACTGGTGGCTGGACACAGGGATGTGGTTTATGGGAAGTGAGAAACTTCCTCAAATATAAAATTGCAAACACGGAAATAACCCACAAAAAAAAACCCCTGCAGAAAACCCCCACAAAAGCATTAAAAAAAACCCCTAAATATAAAAAAACCCCAAACCTCCCAAGCAGTACAAAAGTCTCCAAAATGTTTTGAAAAAGTCCCTGAAGCATAAAAAAAAATACTCAAAATATAAAACTTTTCAAAAACATAAAAATCCCTCAAAACATTAGGAAAAAAAAAACCATCAAAAAGGCCCCCAAACATGGAAAACTGTGGCTTCCCTACAGGAGATGTCCCTGGGGTGGGCTGGGGACAAGAGGGGTCTCTGTCCCCCTCTCTGGGGGTTGTCACCTGTGTGGGTTCCTGGTGAAGTGGTGGGGACCCAAAGGACCCCAAAAACCCTCGGGAAATGGGGAAAACCCCTTCTGTAGGTTCTGGAATGGGGGATCCCAGTGGGATGGGGACACCCCCAGGGGCCAGGAGCCCCTCAGGAATGGGGGGTCACGGTGGGGGCTCCAGGGACCCTGAGGAGAGCAGATTCCAGTGGGGACAGCTCCAAAGCCAAGGGGCTCCCGGTGGGATCCTGGGGATGGAGGTGGGTTGGGGGATCCTGGGAATGCGGGGTCCCAAACAGGTCCAGGGCTGGAGAGAGGGCTGGGGGTCCCTGGGGAGGGGGGATCCCAAAAGGATTCAGGGATGGAGACAATCCTAAGGGCTGGGGGTCCCTGGGGATGGAGGATCCCTGGGGATGGGGGATCCCAGTAGGGTTCAGCGATGGAGACATTCCCAAGGGCTGGGGGTCCCGGTGGGATCTCAGGGATGGGGGATCCCAAAAGGGATGGAGACATTCCCAAGGGCTGGGGGTCCCGGTGGGATCTCAGGGAACATGGAAAACTGTGGCTTCCCTACAGGAGATGTCCCTGGGGTGGGCTGGGGACAAGGGGGTCTCTGTCCCCCTCTCTGGGGGTTGTCACCTGTGTGGGTTCCTGGTGAAGTGGTGGGGACCCAAAGGACCCCAAAAACCCTCGGGAAATGGGGAAAACCCCTTCTGTAGGTTCTGGAATGGGGGATCCCAGTGGGATGGGGACACCCCCAGGGGCCAGGAGCCCCTCAGGAATGGGGGGTCACGGTGGGGGCTCCAGGGACCCTGAGGAGAGCAGATTCCAGTGGGGACAGCTCCAAAGCCAAGGGGCTCCCGGTGGGATCCTGGGGATGGAGGTGGGTTGGGGGATCCTGGGAATGCGGGGTCCCAAACAGGTCCAGGGCTGGAGAGAGGGCTGGGGGTCCCTGGGGAGGGGGGATCCCAAAAGGATTCAGGGATGGAGACAATCCTAAGGGCTGGGGGTCCCTGGGGAGGGGGGATCCCAAAAGGATTCAGGGATGGAGACAATCCTAAGGGCTGGGGGTCCCTGGGGAGGGGGGATCCCAAAAGGATTCAGGGATGGAGACAATCCTAAGGGCTGGGGGTCCCTGGGGATGGGGGATCCCGGTAGGGTTCAGCGATGGAGACATTGCCAGGGGGTCCTGGTGGGATCTCGGGGATGGGGGATCCCAAAAGGGTTTGGGGATGGAAACATTCCCAAGGGCTGGGGGTCCCGGTGGGATCTCAGGGATGGGGGATCACAACAGGGATCAGGGATGGAGACATTCCCAAGGGCTGGGGGTCCCGGCGGGATCTCAGGGATGGGGGATTGGGGATCCCAAAAGGGATGGAGACATTGCCAGGGGGTCCTGGTGGGATCTCGGGGATGGGGGATCCCAACAGGGATGGAGACATTCCCAAGGGCTGGGGGGTCCCTGGGGATGGGGGATCCCAACAGGGATGGAGACATTCCCAAGGGCTGGGGGGTCCCTGGGGATGGGGGATCCCAACAGGGATGGAGACATTCCCAAGGGCTGGGGGGTCCCTGGGGATGGGGGATCCCAACAGGGATGGAGACATTCCCAAGGGCTGGGGGTCCCGGCGGGATCTCGGGGATGGGGCTCCCGGGAATGGCGGTGTCCCAGGGGGTGCAGGGATGGGGACAGCCCCCGGGTGCGGGCGTCCTTCGGGAGCGGGGTGTCGCGGTGTCCCCGCACTCACCCAGAAGAGCAGGTTGAAGAAGAAGAGCACGTACTTGGCCACCGGGCTCACGAAGGAGAAATCGTCCCCGAGGGGCCCGGCGGGGACGGCCGCCCTCTTCGCCATGGCCGAGCGGAGCCGAGCGGGACCGAGCGGAGCCGAGCGGAGCCGAACCGGACCGGTCCCCGCTTCGCCCCGCTGCGAGCGCCACCGAACCCCGACCCCTTCCCGCCCGCTCATTGGCTGGCCCCTCCTCACTCTGCCTTTCTATTGGATAGTCGCCCCGTCGCTCAGCCCCGCGGGTCCCGCCCCCGCTCTGCCGCACCTGTCCGTGATTTAAAGGGCCCGCGCACCTCGTCCCGTCCCGGTCCGTGCGGGGCCAAATCCCGCCCGGGCCGTCCCGAAACCGCCCGAACCGTGCGGCCCGTGCCCCAGAGAGCCCCCCAGCTTGGAGGGAGTGTGGAGTGTTATGATTGTGGCCGTAACTCGTCGCTGATTTCTGCCCCGGGTGGCAGTCCTTGCGGGGACACCGGGCAGTTCTCGTCCCTGAATCGCGGCCAGCCCCAGCTGGGGGGATTCGGGCTTGTCCTGAAGGGACGTGCCTGAGCCTCTGACCAGGATTTGCTGGAAACAACCCTGCAGTGCTGACTCTGAGACCTCGGTGACCCTTTGCTTGCAGGGAGCACCGCCTCACGGCTACAATTTAATTTATTATTATTATTATTATTATTATTATTCCATCTTTTATCATTTCCCTCCTACGGCTGGGCTGGAAATCCCCTGGGAGCAGATGCTGGCACGGCCCATTCCGGAGGAACACGGGAGCTTCAGGCAGAGGAACCAAAACCAAAAACCCCCTTTGTGCTTTCGGGGCCGCAGAGGAGCCCGTCCCCCCACCAGCACAGCCATTGCCTTGGGGTGCTGCTGGGAGGAGCCCCCCGTGACCCCCCAAAACCCTGGTGGGCTCTCTGAGACACCCCACGAGGTCTTGGTGGGGCTGAACCTCAACAGAAGGGGTTCAGTAAAGGGCCCAGGGATGCCAGGCTTGGATGCACACCCTTGGATCCACGTGTGCCCCCTCAGGCTGGTGTGATCCCCAAAAATGGGGTGGGATAGGATCCATGGGGTGGGATGGGATCCATGGGTTCCACAGAATGGGATCCATGAGATGGGATCCACGGCTTAGGATTGATCCATGGGATGGGATGGGTTCCATGGGATGGGATCCATGGGATGGGATGGGATCCATGGGATGGGATCCATGGGATCCATGGAATGGGATGGGATCCATGGGAAGGGATCCATGGGATGGATGGGATGGGATGGGGTGGGATGGGATGGGATAATGAGATAATGGGATGATTGGGGCCTGGCAGTATGAGCTTCCTTTGCTGCTCAGCTGCAGGGGGAGGGAATGGGATGGGATCCATGGGATGGGATCCATGGGTTCCACAGAATGGGATCCATGGCTTAGGATTGATCCATGGGATAGGATGGGATGAGATCTATGGGATCTATGGGATGGGTTCCATGGGATGGGATGGGTACCATGGGATGGGATCCAGGGGGTGGGATGGGATCCATGGGGTGGGATCCATGGCTTAGGATCAATCCATGGGATGGAATGGAGGGGATGGGATCTCTGAGATGGGATGGGATCGATCCATGGATGGGATGGGATGGGATCCCTAGGATGTGACCCATGGGATGGGTGGGATGAAGAGGAGGGCACAGGGGAGGAGAAGGGAGGCTCTGGTGGCCCCTGAGCCTCAGCAATGGCCACGGGAGGAGGAGGAGGGGGAGCAGTGGCCCGAGGAGCCCCGCGGAGCCCCCGGGATGCTGCGGGATCCCGAATATCCCAAATTTCCCTCTCGGCGCCTTCGGAACACGGGCGGGAAAAGGGGCGTGGCCGTGGGTAATGGGGCGTGGTCTCAGAAGGAAATGGGACAGTGCATGTCCATATATGGAGCCCCCCAAGCCCCCTGACCCCTCGTTGGTGGAAAGAGGCGTCACCCCCGCTCTGGAGCAACGCTCTTTATTTGGGGTCTCAGGGTGTGTCCCCCCAGCCATGGGACCCCGGGGTTTGGGTGTCCCCCCGGGCTGTCCCTTGCCCGTCCCCGGGGGTCCGAGCAGAGCCCATCGTGCACCCCCAGACCCACCCTGCACCCCGCCCCAGCCCTGTCCCCCCGCTGGGGCAGTCGGGGCCGTGTCCTGTCCCCGTGTCACACGTGGACGTGTCCAGCTGGGGTGGCCTCAGGTGCTGGCACTCTTGAGCTCACCCAAGGCCACCTCTCCTCCTTCCCCTGCAGCCACGGCCGCGGGCTCGGGGGCTGGGCCCCGCGCTGAGGGGACAGTGAGTGGGGACACGGGACAAGCCCGGCCCCACACGGAGCTGTCCCCATCCCTGTCCCTGTCCCATCGCTATGTGCCCCCTTGTCCTCATCCCTGCCTTGTCTTCGTCCCTGCTGTCATCCCCACCCCATCCCCATCCCATGGATCCCATCCCGTAGATCCCATCCCATGGATCCCATCTCATCCAATTGATCCCATGGATCCTGTCCCACCCCATGGATCCTGTCCCATCCCACCTCATGGATCCCGTCCCATCCCATGGATTCTGTCCCATCCCATCCCATGGATTCTGTCCCATCCCATCCCATGGATTCCATCTCATCCCATGGATCCCATCCCATCCCATTCGATCCCATGGATTCCATCCCATCCAATTGATCCCATAGATCCTGTCCCACCCTATGAATCCTGTCCCATCCCACCTCATGGATCCCGTCCCATCCCATGGATTCTGTCCCATCCCATCCCATGGATTCCATCTCATCCCATGGATCCCATCCCATCCCATTCGATCCCATGGATCCCATCCCATCCAATTGATCCCATGGATCCTCTCCCACCACCTGGATCCTGTCCCATCCCACCTCATGGATCCCATCCCATTCCGATTCTGTCTCATCCCATCCCATCTATCCCATGGATCCCATCTCATCACATCGATCCCATCCCATGGATTCTGTCCCATCCCATCCCATGGATCCCATCCCATCCCATTCGATCCCATCCCATCCCATTCGATCCCATGGATTCCATCCCATCCCATGGATCCCATCCCATCTATCCCATGGATCCCATCCCATCACATCGATCCCATCCCATGGATCCTGTCCCATCCCATCCCCACGAGGGAGCTGGAAATCCCCTCCCCACACAGAATCCCATCCCCAGTGGACCAGGGGTTCTCCAGCTGCCCCCATCCTACAACACCCCCTGTGCCCCCGGCACCCCAAAGACACCCCCTGTGCCCCGGCACCCCAAACACCCCCCTTTGTGCCCCTAGCACCCCCTTTGTGCCCCCAGCACCCCCTTTGTGCCCCCCAAACACCCCCCTTGTGCCCCCCAAACACTCCCCGTGCCCCCCCACGCACCTGCGCGCCCCCAGCAGTGGCCCTGGCAGCGGGCACACACCATGACCCCGATGGCCACCGCCGTGAAGGCGGCCGTGAGGACACAAACCACCATGAGCATGTCCGGTTTGTGCCCCCAAACACCCCCTTTGTCCCCCCAAACACCCCCCAGTGTCCCCCCACGCACCTGCGCGCCCCCAGCAGTGGCCCTGGCAGCGGGCACACACCATGACCCCGATGGCCACCGCCGTGAAGGCGGCCGTGAGGACACAAACCACCATGAGCATGTCCGGCTCCGCGGCCTTGGGGACCTCTGCGGGGTGACACCGGCACGTGGGGACACCGGCAGGGCCACCCCCCCGCTCCCTGTGCCGTGCCAGGCCGGGGGAACCCCAAACTGCCCCGGGGGAGCAGCCGGGGACAGACAGACACAGCAGGGACAAGGGACAGACACAGCAGGGACGAGGGACATGGCAGGACATGTGGGGACACAAAACATGGCAGGGGGACAGAGCAGGGACACCTGGCACTGCTCGGGTGGGACAAGGGACACGTCAGGGCATGTGGGGACTGAGGGACATGGCAGGACATGTGGGGACCCCAAACATGGCAGGGGGACAGGGCAGGGAAACCTGGCACTGCTCGGGTGGGACAAGGGACACGTCAGGACATGTGGGGACCCCAAACATGGCAGGGGGACAGGGCAGGGACGCCTGGCATCACTGAGATGGGGACAGAGCAGTAGGAGGTGACAGATACGTCAGGGAATTGGGGACACCCCCAAATTCTGTCACCATCCAGGTGGGGACTGGGATACAGGAGGTGACAGACGAGTCAGGGAATGAGGGGTCCCCAAATTGGGGTGAAAAGTGTGGGACACCACCCAGATGGGGACAGGGATGGACCAGGGCACAAGGCAGGTGACAGATACGTAGGGAATGGGGACAACCCTAAATTCTGGCAGCACCCAGATGGGGACAAAACTGGACACAGCGGAAAACTGGGGACACCCCCAAATTCTGGCACCACCCAAATAGGGACAGGGGACAACACGGGTGACAGACACACCAGGAAATGGGGACAACCCTAAATTCTGGCAGCACCCAGACGAGGCCAGGGCTGGACACAGCAGGGAACCGAGGGACCCCAAAAGGGACAGTGCCACCCCCGCCCCGCTCACCTGCCACGGCGGGCTGCAGCACCAGGGAGCAGAGCAGCTGCGGGGCCGCGGCGCGGGCGGCGTAGCAGGAGTAATTCCCGAAATCGGGATGGCTGAGGTTCCTCAGCAGCAGCGACACGCCGCTGTCCCCCGTCCCCGCGGCGCAGAAGGCCACCCTGCCCCTGAAGCGGCTGTCGGGCTGCACGGGCGGGTGCCAGCCCGGCTCGGGGGGCGGCGGGTGCCAGCCCAGGCGGTGGCTGAGGACGGGGACAGCGTGGTGGCCGCCAGCCTGGTGGGTGCAGCTGAGGGTGACCCCGCGCAGGTCACCCCAGGGCTGCGTGCCGCAGGGCAGGCAGGCGTCCTCGCCGACGGCCGCTGTCACCGTGACGGTGACAGGAGGCTGGTCTGGGAGGGGACACAGCGGGGTCACCGCGAGGTGACACCAGGGATGGGGTACAGCGGGGCGGAGGGGTCACCCTGGGACAAGGGGGCTCTGAAGGGGACAGGGGACATCTGTGGGAACATGGTCGGTGGCGCCGGGACCGAGGGCTTGGAGGTGCCAGGACCTGGGGCTCGGTGGTGCCAGGACCTGGGGCTAGGGGATGCCAGGACCGAGGGCTCGGGGATGCCAGGACTGGGTGTTCGGGGGTGCCAGGTCCCGGTGCCAGCACCGAGGGCTCGGGGATGCCAGGACCGAGGGCTCGGGGATGCCAGGACCGGGTGTTCGGGGGTGCCAGGTCCCGGTGCCAGGACCGGGTGTTCGGTGGTGCCGGGTCCCGGTGCCAGCACCGAGGGCTCGGTGGTGCCAAGCAGCCGCCCCGTGAGTCACCGCCCTGCCGGGAACGGCTCCCCCGCCCTCCCCTCGGGGTTCCCACCGCGGTCTCCGCGCAGGGGAGGAAAGGGGAGGTTGGGAAGGGGGTCCCCGCGGAGAGGGGGGCTCTGCCCGGACCCCCCACCCCGCTGCCCGTGGGTACCTGCCCGGGCGAGGAGGGGGCACAGAGCCAAGAGCGCCACGACGGGGAGCAGCGCCATCCTGCCGGCATCCGCGGCCGGGCAGCTCCTGGGGGCCGCGGGCACCGCAGCCTCAACCGCGGGGCATCCCAAAACCCTGGGGGCACCCCAAACACAGCCCCCCATGGCGAGGGAGGCACCCCGGGGGTCTCCAACCCCCCACACCCGCCGTGAGCAGGGGGGGTTAGGGGGCTGGGCAGGGGGCCGGGGTTTTTGGGTCTGGGGGCCAGGGCAGCTGTAGGGAGGGGGGAGAGGGGATTATGGGGCTGGGGTCTGGGCAGTTATAGGGCAGGGGGTTTGGGTTTATGAGGCTGGGGGCTGGGCAGATATAGAGCATGGGCGAGGGGATTATGGGTCTGGGGGCT